TTTAATGAGGGGGGATTCTCATACCACATCCTAAAATTTGGGTCCATTGCCATACTAAATGTCCAAAAAGGTACCCCATGTGCGCCGAGGATCCCCGTCAAGGTTTATATATAGTGAACCCCCCGGGAATCTGACCCAGGCATGATGGACACTACATTCAGAAAAGTTGAACCACTTAATATTTTACCATCAAACACAGTTCACGGGAATGCCTCCATGCATCCTTACCCCTTTGCCCATCTGGGGGATAACTCAAATACTGTTTGTCTGATATCATTCATATTTATACTCATATGTGAGTAAAAGTGAAGGTGTCAGGGTAAATGAACCTCCAAGGTCAACCAGGGGTTCCATCCGATTCATTGACATACAATCTAAAAAATATTATAATTATAGTTATGGAATGTTATCTAGGATAACAGATTGGCGACGTCAGGTATTTTGGCGTCGCAGTCAACAAAAGGGAATTATCTGTTTGTGAATATCCGTTTTTCTTATGTATCTCCTATTTCATGAATTGTCTGTTTGTAAATATACATTTTTACTTATGTATCTCCTATTTCATAAAGGCCAATAAACATGTACATACATACAATAGGAGTTCTGCTAAAATTGGCTGGTTTCGAAATTGTTGCTATTCTATTATTGATTTAATACTATATGTTAGAACTTAGAAAATTGTTATTTTATTATGGTCTTAAGCTAAACATGAAGGGCATCACAACACAAACAGTCAAAAAGTGAGATTGAAAAAATATATTTTATTATATAATTGCAGTAAAAAGGCAATTAAAATACAGGTGAATTTGATATTGATGTTATGATAATCCATTAATTTAATTTAAAAAAATGTATTTCTGAACTTAAATGCCTTTTTTATTTATTCAAAAGGCATCGTTGTCAACGATATTATTCATATTTTACCTATTTAATGTTTGTTGCATATTCCAATCAACATTAAGTTTTTGGCAATGTAAATAATTGTTGGGCACATACAAGGATCAACTTTATATTTACAATCTTTCACAATAAGTAATTTTTGAAAACATATTTAAGTGAAATACAAAGGTAACACAAAGGACCTAAATGGCTTCAAAAACACGTCAAAACAAGAGATTTAAAAAATTATCCTGGCAAATGGCGAACATTATCTGACAACTTTCTTAGCTCAGAGACCTGACAATTTCGTAGAAGGTCTGCCATTTTTTAGGAAGTCATTTGACCTTTTTGCGATAGCACGAAAAGTAATTGTAGTGATCTTTTGATATTATATAATAATAGGATTTATTTGTACTGTCCTTAAGCCAAACCTACATCCAATAATAAAATATTACAATATTATAGTAAAAATATTAATGAAGTATACAACTCTTGGGAAAGATATACAACTCCTGGATAGCGTATACAACTCCTAGGCAGCATATACAACTCTTCGACTTGATATACAACTGCTGAATTTAGATTTACTTATTATTGATTGCCATATAAGATCAGCCTAATTTGTAAAGAAAGTAAAATTTAATGTGTATGTTAATATTAGGAAGCGTGGCACTTTTTTCTATGAGCCAGACATTTTTTACTTAGACAGTAATTGAGCAAAGATTTCACTTATTTTGTCTGCTGTTTGGCAATGACAAGATGTTAGAATGGGGTTTGCTTTCTTTACCCTGGCATTGCTATTGTTATTTTAATTCTAAAGTGAAAAGGAATATTTGTTATTTTAATTCTATAGTGAAAACGAATATTTGTTAGTTTAATTCTGTAGTGAAATTGAATATTTGTTACTTTAATTCTATAATGAATACAAATATTGAATAACATAAAGGAGAATTCATATCCTCTTTCTACGTTTAAATAAGACAGCCATTGAATTATCATTACAAAACTGATGCTTTTTATATCTTCAGGTACCGGTGGAACGTAAACATTTTTGAAAAAATCTTATACCTGCACATGTGTGCATTTCCTTGCTTTTTTCAGGAAAGTATCATTACATTGTTTTCTTTTAGTAAACCTGATAAGAGGTAGATGGTAATTCCAGGAAATGCTGATATTTTATGCTGCCTCGTTTTCCAAATTTCTTCTCAACGTAACTTTTTCCAGGATTACTAAAAGAAAGCAATGTAATAATACTTTCCTGAAAAAAGCAAGGAAATACACACATGCCTTCATACTTTATTTTGTACAAAAAATAACATGTGCAGGTATAGGTTTTTTCAAAAATGTTTTCGTTCTACCAGTACCTTATGTGTTATCAGCATTTTCAATAGAAATAATATACATGTATGTCAATAACATACGGATTTTTGCATCGTAATTTACATTTCTAAAATGATTATTGTAATAAAAAAAATCTTGATTTTGACCTTTTTAATCATTTTGAAGTACAATACAAGTATATTCCTCTCTCATTTTCCTGCAATGTAAACAACATAATAGGGAGGTTAAGTTATACATTTTTAGAAAACTTGTTAAGTGAACGTGTAGAATTATTAATTGTCCTTTATGGATTAGCTCTCCCATTTGTAGTGTTTACTTGGCCCATTGAGTATAAAGGTATACAGAAAATAATTGAAATAACATCCTTGGAAAAGTGAATTGAGAGCGGGACATTAATCCCCAGGGTTGAAATATTATATGCTCACGTACAGTTTTTCTTAAAAACGTGTAACTTTAAACCTTCATAATGTTTCTTTTTGTGTATTTGTTTGTTTATTTGTTCAAATTCCCATTGAAATGTTAATATCTAATTTATAAATTCCTTGACCTTAATTAACTTTTTTTTATCAATGTCATATATACTCTAATCTAATCAATGGTTGTATCCATACAGACAGGGAGGGGGGGGGGGGTAAACAAGCAACACGTTTGCACCATTAACAAGGCATTTGTGATTCATGTAGAGCTTGGCTAAGCTGCAGCTATTGGCCACTCACCGATCACATGCACAATATGAACAAGTTTGAAAAAGCTATAACTTACCAATGTTTCATGTGGTTTTCACCCAACAGTTGGATGATACACACCTAAGTGGAGAGCTTGATATATTATAACACAGGAATGCATTTTCAAAGGATATTATAGCATTATTCATCCATTATAGTTCAGTTATTTCTAGGAAGTTGAAACATAATTTTAGGTATATCATTTTTGAATATCATGCTGAATTAGAGGACTGCTATATGCGTTCTTACTTATATTTTTGAGGATATATCATGTAATCCTCATTAGTAAACAAAATCAATATGGGACTTGTCATTATGAATTTGAATTAATTATTGGCTTTCAATATTAGAATTTTAGAATTTTAGTCCATTTCAATGTTTTATTTCTAATGAGGAATCAAATGACCACAGTACTGTGGTATATGGAAAAATATATTCATACTTTACACAATTGACATTTGTATATCTTTAATTGCTTGTAGTTTGGCTAATAAAATGTGCGGTCTTTTGTATTTTGATGCTTTTCTGCCATGTTATTTTCCAAAAAATTAACATGGCTGAAACTCCTTAAATTTATTGAACATGAAAACAATTAATATGAAATAAACATTCATTCAGTTAAATGTCATTCATGTACACTATGAATATATTTTCCATATATCAGGGCAAAGTGGTCTTTTGATTCCTTCTTTTTTAGGTTTTATTGACAACAATAAAACATTGAACTGGACTTTAAATGTAATTTTGATATTGATAGCAAAACAATTATAATACAAAGTCAGAATGACACGTTCCATATTGAATTTTGTTTACGAATAAGGATTATGTGATACATCATATAGTTCTCAATAAAATAAGGAACAGCATATATGGCAGCCTTCTAATGTCATTTCAGCATGATATTCAAAACTGATTTAAATGGACTGTAGGAAATTTTTAGTGAGAGTCTTTCATGCAGAGCCAAGGAAAAGAAATCACCTGAAATATAAACTGAATTGTCTGACCTAACTTGAAATATAATGGCTAGTATAACTGAAACAAGGATGAGACTGAATGTAAAATATCACCATGGTGACAAGGACAGCATAACATTTGAAAATAACAACAAAGGAGAACAGATGGAGAAATCTACTTTGATTGATAGATGGAGTGGTGAAGATAAAACATTTGTAAAATTTTCCTCACAACAACAAATTGAAGATTCTACTCTCGTTGCCATGATGAGATTATGGACAGGGAAATGGTGGGAGTGGTTTATGGAACCTGAATACATTATTGGATCGACATCTCAGGACAATCAGATACAAAACGGCCCTCCTGCACAAAACAGCCCTCTGTTAGAAAGCCGCCTTCCTGCACAAAGCGGCCCTCTCGCTGTAAACAGCCCATCTGTACAAAACAGCCCTTCTACCAGTAGAAGTAGCAGCTGTTCTGATTATTCCGATAGCCCTCTCCCTATAATTAATAATAAGGATAACTCAGAGGGAGAATCACGTGAATCTCCATACCCCTGGCTGAATAAAGTGTAAGGAAAAAAGAAAAGGCGAAAAGTTGAAAAAGTCATTTTCTCAAGTTTTTGTCTGCATCTAAATTTTGAAATTGTTCATTGTATATCCAATTTACATTAACAATACATGGATATAATCTTAATTTTTATAAATAATATTAAATTTTTGATATTCTTATAATCACAGTAATATACATGTGTAGTTTTTTTTTTAATTTCACTTGGTTAAAACAAATGTGATGCAGATATATAAATGCTTATCTTTTAAATAAGGGATTTTTAAAACTACAATGAACATAAGATTCTATTGTCAATTTTGAGGAATTTAAAGTATGCTTTAACTATGAACCAAGTTAGTTTCATTAATTTCAGATAATTTCATTTAACTGAAAAGTGTTTATAGATGTCGTACATCTGAAACAAAAATTCTGTTATTTTATCAAAGTCTGTGATATGCACAAATGGTAACACTAGAAAAATACAAAACAGCCTAAAACCCCTATTAACCACTATAACATACGATTGATGATATGTTGTTGTATTTGCAGATGTCATAGACCAACTGACTCTCTCTTCAGCTCATCAAGTGGCTTCAACAACTACAGGGGGCTCCTGAATCTCTGTATAGTTCTATTGGTAAGTTACTTTAACTTTTAATATGATAAATCATTAAACATGTTAAACATTAATTGATGCCGTTAAAAATTAAAGGGTGAGTACCATTTGCATTAAGCTTGATATGCATGATGCATGATTTAAATATAATTATAATTCATTTATAATTACCAATTATAAATGGAATAAGTATGATTTTTCACATTTTTATGTAGATATTTATATGTTTTTCTAGAATACATAGTTCAAAGTTCAAACATTTCAATTATTTATTGAAATGACATTTCCAGGGATATTTGTTTATTATTCCATAATTTACGAAGTTTGCGGAGCTATTGAGAATGGCTCCATCTATCTGTCCATCCCTCCCTCCGTCTTTCAAAATGGCCACCATTTTAGTGTCAATTTTACACTTTTTAGGTAAAACATTTAAAGCAACACGCTAATTTACAATTTTTGTTATATCTTTGTTCATATTTGATATGTGAATACTCATAACCATGGTACAATAGCTTGTGATACCTCGGCTAGTAGCCGGCCATTTTGAAAAATGCCATCATTTTTATGTTTTTTTGCTATAATTTTAAAAAGTAATGGAGTGATTTTGTTGATATTTTATATGTGAATTCTTACAAGCACATAACACTTTCATATGACAATTTGACTAGTGAACGGCCTTTTTGAAAAATGACGGCCATTTTTATGTGCGTCATTTTATGAAATTTTCTATAACTGAAAAAGCAATAAAGTGATTTTGTTGAAATTTTATATGTGAGTAATTCGAGGCATATCACACTTTCTTATGACAATATGGCTAGTGAGTGGTCATTTTTATGTGTGTTGTTGAACATAGTTGTTACAACTGAAAAGCAGTCAAGTGATTTTGTTTGTATTGCAAATGTGAATACAGTATCACATTTGTAAACGTTGTTCTTTTTAAATGATCCATTCCTTTCATTTTAGGTATTGTCAAATGCCAGGGTTGCCTTAGAAAATATAATCAAGTAAGTTTTTTTTATTTTATTTTTTATATTTGTTAAAAGGTCAAAATGACATTTACAAAACAAGTTAACCTCAACATTTAAATTCTAGAGATCCAAAGTAACAATTGAGCTTTTTTTATTCATTTTTTATTCATTGGAATCGCTTTTGATACAGCAAAAAATACTATTATACCTGGTACATGTTCTTCCAGACATTAAATTAACAATTTATTTTAAATCATTTATAAGTTTATAGGTTTAGTAACTAAAACATGGCGTTGATCCTTGACACACTGATCAAACTTAAAAGCTTTTTCTTGTCTTCACAATGTTAAGATCTCAAACTTGTTTTAGTTTGCAGATGATAAAAGATTTGACAATAGTCCTGGATTTCATTTTTCATTTCTTTAAAACTGTTTCTATCATTAGTAAAGAAAAGGCATACAAAACGCCAATGTTGGATGGTGTCCTTCACATTTTGATCGCCCCCTGCAGTGCATATTCCATTTCCCTGTCTCCACTTTTTGCACTCTGTTTTAAATCCAAAGCAACCTGATCTAGCCTTGAACTTAGCTTTTGCCCATAAAATTGGAGAGTAGTTTTAGAGTGTAAACGTTTAATTCTCCAGTCAAACAAATATTTCTAAAGCATAAAACAAGGTCAATTAGTTTCTAAAAGGTCAAACAGTTCTAGACAGTCAAACAAATAATTCTCAAGCATTGAACAATTAATTTCTAAAAGGTTAAACAGTTGATTCTAGCCAATCAAACAATTAATTCTAGAAGGTCAAATAATTAATTCTAGATAATCAAACATATAATTCAAAATAATTAAACAATTGATTCAAAAAGGTCAAACATTTGATTCTAGAGAGTCAGGCAATTTGTTCTAGACAGTCAAACAAATAATTCTAAAGAACTGAACAATTAATTCTAAAAGGTCAAATAATTGATTCTAGAGGGTCAAATAATTAATTCTAGATAGTCAAACAAATAATTCTAAAAAAATTGAACAGTAAATTCTAAATGGTCAAATAATTGATTCTAGAGGGTCAAACACTAAATTCTAGACAGTCAAACAAATAATTTTGAAGAATTGATCAATTAATTCTAAAAGGTCAAACAATTGATTCTAGAGAGTCAAACAATTAATTCTAGAGAATAAAACAAATAATTTTAAAAAATTGAACAATTAATTTCTAAAAGCTCAAACAATTGATTCTAGAGAGTCAGGCAATTTATTCTAGACGGTCAAACAAATAATTCTTAAGAATTGAACAATTAATTTCTAAAAGGTCAAACAATTGATTCTAGAGAGTCAGGCAATTTATTCTAGACAGTCAAACAAATACATAATTCTAAAGAATTGGACAATTAATTTCTAAAAGGTCAAACAGCTGATACTAGAGAGTCAAATAATTAAGACTCCTAAAATAAAACTGGTAAATACTACATGTTTACATGGTATATGACAGTATGAAAAGGAACGGAGTCAATATTTACATTAAGTACAGAGTTAAGTGATATGATATATGATCGTTTACCTTTTGCCTAGTATTGTAATAATCATGAATAGTGACATTTTTCGTATTTTTTTTATCAAATCAATTCAATAAGTTAGTTTCAATGTTTGACACTTTAAACATAAAAATCCCTGTATTAAGTTTACCTAGGTCATAGATACAGGTATTTAAAGTGCCAAGCTCTATGGATAAAGGTGCAAAAATTTCCACTTGTTTCTTGTTGAATACAAAACGCACAAAGCGTTTTTGTGAGGATATTGTGATTTGATTCATATTTTGACTCGTGAAGTGATGTCTTTCTAGAGAGAACATGTTGACAAGTCAACAAGATAAATGAATGTGTTTCATTCATATTCATATGAGATATTATGATTGTATTTTTCTATTTATCTTTCTTGTCTTTAGAGGCCCATAGACTCGAGGCATAAGTCACACCCCCCTCTCTAATATTCTCTATATTCTAGTATAGGCTACAGAATATAAGAGGGAGGTTTGACTTTCTCCCCATGCCCATAGAGGCCCTAAGTTGGCTGCTTTTTTCCTTTTAAAATTAAAACAATGTTGCATTAAGACTTTTTTTCAGCCCCGCAATTATGCGATGAGCCCATTTATTTCTGTGTACATCAATTAAGATTTTACTAATCATATTTTGTCAGGTTTATTCAAATTCAATAAGTCAATTTTCATCTGTTTTTGTTTAAATCATCTGTACTTTTAGAAGATTATCTTTATTGTTTAAATCATCTGTAATGTAATGTTCATCAGCTCTAATGTAGCAGTCATTTCATAAAAACCTGATAGAAACCCCCCCCCCATGCTTATCATTACTAGCTCTCATACATGTACTGAATGACACCAATCTGTGCACCTAACAATTTGTCATAAACTGAATGGCAGGTTATTTATTTGTTTAGCGGGATTTATTTTGAAAAAGTACTAAATGATCTGTATTTTCTTTTATTCATTAAGTGAAAAAAATGAAGTCATGTCAAAATGAAATGAAAACTTGCTAGAAATAACAAAAGCCATAAAAAAGTTTTGACAAAGGATGATTTTTGTACCTGCTAAACAGATAAACATTTTTTATAATTAAAGGCCTAAGTCTAGGTTTGATGAACCTTATAAAATCCTAGGGAAGGTTATCTAGGATCAGGTTAAAATTGAAACAGTCTGGCCTGTCTCGATGAGAAATAAATTGTGTCTTATCATTGAATTGACAAGATTATTTCTGGATGTAGGTTTACTTACACTGATAACAATTTGGAATCACTTTATCTCACTAATGCTCAACATGGGTTGAAGTATTTATTTGTTTTAAATTGATATTTTATTTTATTTTAGATATGGTATTTTAATAGATCCACTGTCAGCTGGATCAGTGTTCTTCAAAGACCCCTATAATTGGCCATCGGTATTACTTATACTAAGTAAGTACTTGAATTAGCAGACAATTACTTTTTATTATTATTTATTACTTATTATTTGAATTCTTTATATGAGAGTTAGAATTGCATGGATTCCACCCTTTGCTCAAAAGTAAACCATTTTGTTTACTGCCTTTCAATATAAAACAGTTCAATAAGGAAACCTGAACAATACAGCACATACGCATGACCCTAGTCCATGAACAATATATAAATGTGGTCTTGAGGAATTTGTATTAATTTTATCTGACCTTCTGGCCAAGTTCCCTATTTATTCACTTTTTAAACCAGATGATTTCCTGGTCATATTCCAAGTATTTACTTACTAGACCTCCTGGCCATATTTACTAACGTTCTATGCAACCAGAACTTCTGATCCCGTTCCCTACTTATTCACATTGGCACAGAAGCTTGATCTTATGATCTAGAATATACAGGTCGGTAGCCAGGATTTGCCAAGGAGGTTCACTTTTGACAACTTTGGCCCAAAAATGGCAGAAATCACTTGGAAAGTGCTCAAAATGGTGAAAAACTGCATGATTTTAAAATTTTCTTTGGCCAGATGGGTGGGGGGGGGTCATTCATTTGAACCCCTTGACCTTGAGCCCCCCTCTGGCTACGGGCCTGATATAATAAGCTAAAGTAGATGACCTGTCGGTCAACTGATAGGAAATCAGGTAGTGGTGTAATCCTGCCACATAAACTAATGTTTCATAACTTGTATTGTCTGTAACAATATCTAGTAAACTCAGTGAAAAGACTCAATAATAAAAGGTTAAAAGTTGACAAATATTGACAAGTACTTCTTCTTACACAAATGACTGTTTAATAGACAACAGAATGGGATTCTGGCATTACATTTGAGAAAATATGAATATGAATATGTTAGACATTTTTATATTCTTTTTTGTATTCCTTTTACAAGTACTTTCTACCATACTGTTTGTATCCTTTGAATTGCTTAGCTTTTTATTAAGTTCAATAGTACTGTATAATACCATATGAGATCCCTGATGGTAAGAAAAAAACAATGCCCCCCCCCCTCCCCAAACAGCAAAAACTATCTCCAGAAAGAAGAAGGGTGGGGATTGAGAAATTAGAATGTCGAAGCAATCTTTTCAAAAATGTGCAATATTTTTTCATTTTTTGACCATTTTATCAAGATCAACACATACTACTCCCTTAATGCCTTGATCACATTTGCTCCGATTTTCACTATGGCGCATGGCCGATTGAATATTTTGTTCAAAATTGAATACAATATTGAACAAAACACTCAATCGGCCGGGCGCCAGCTGATGGATCGGAGCAAATGTGACCCAGGCATTAAGTACCCCTTGTATGATATACTGTACTTATGTACATTATTCTCTTCTTATTCTTCAGCTGCCAATGTGTTTGTGCTGTTCACATTTGCTGTGGAGCTTGGATTGTCTAATGTAAGTACCAAGTGTTCAGTAATTTCTCATGCTACAAACATAAAACAGACCTTCCTTAAGAATTTATTTGTAAAGTGGCCAAAAGGTTAGGTAAAGTTCAAGAAGTCACTTCCAAAATACTTCAAAATCACTTGTGATTTTAAATTGTAACTGGTGACCCTGACAACAAATGTAAGTTGATCAATACTGTCATCAACACATCAATCAGACCATGTAGATAACGAAGAGAGCAAGAGCAGGCACTATCATCCCTGTAGCTACCAGGGATTCAAGGGTTGTATTTCACAAATATTAAGAATACCTACATTATGTGGTTTTTTTAATCTCATAGTGTATACAAGTATTTAAAGCCCCCATATAAAGTTTAAACCACTTTGGGTAGTCTTATCCAATGTTATCAAAATGTGATATGTGAAACTTTTTTTTATTTCAAAAAGTGGTTTTTGAAGTACTTTTCATTCAAAAAAGCATGAATTTATTTAAAACTAAATTTTAGAGGTCACATATATCTTTTCATAAGCGATAGTTATACCAATGTATGAATTCATCCTCGAATGTTTTTTGAAAAAGAAATTAAGAAAATTGCTAAATAAGTGAGAAATAAACTCATCCATGCATAAATGTGATCCAGAGAAAAATTCGTTTCAAAATTTGAGTTCTTGTAGAAACCAATGGTACAATAATATTTAGAACATAATATATTCTTTTCAAAATTCAACATTGGTTTATTTCTGAAGTTTAGCATACGAGTATTTAGAAAAGATTGACTTATAAAAGCAAAAGATGTTTGTAACCTGAGTGACATTACAATGATATTACTTAGGTTGCAAATATTTAAATATTTGAAGATTTGAGAAATAAAATGATAACTTTTTATAGAAATTCTTTTTTTTCTAAAATAGTAAATGAATGATTAAAGCATATTTTTTAAGTGCAAGGGGCCTTTATGCTTTATGCGTGCTCTATGTGCTTTTGCAAATATTTTAAACCTTTTAATATTTGAGAAATAAAATGATAACTTTTTTCTAAAAATTCTCTTTTTTCTAAAATCTCTAAAATAGTAAATGAATGATTAAAGCATATATTTATAAGTACAAGGGGCCTTTATGCTTTATGCGTGCTCTGCTTTTGCAGTTCTTTAAAGATTATTCTTGTTGATTTCCTGGGGTATTTAATACATGATTGCATAAAATAACAAGTTTCTATAAAGTTGGTCAGGGTACCCTGACCCTCTGATCTCAATCAAGTAACCTGCAAAAGAAACTTTTTTTTACTTTTCACAAACCATCAAAAAATGTACTTTTAAAAACTGACACTTCATAACAAAGAAAAAAGCCAAAATGTACCCTTTTTTGCATGGCCTTTAATACCTGAGTGTTACATCACAATGATCAATAAATTTGGACTATTAAAGTGTCAGATGATATAAGCACCATAGTTCTATTCAAATTACCAAAATCACCTTTTTTCTGTTTATTTATTTGAAAAACATATAACACATCTGATGTACTATTTGCAGCCAGATCCTGACTTACATGCTGATTTTTTGACCCTAATGTCAGACAGCGCAGAATGTACAATGGATATCTTGTTATTTAATTTTTATCCTTTTCATATGACAACTTGTATTTGAACTAACCACTTGATTAAATACGTGTCACTTCTGTACCTTTCATCTCTACCATTCTCTACTACAATGATAAAAAAATTATAACTATTAAAGTGTCAGATGATATAAATACCACAGTTCTATACAAATAACCAGAATTATGTCGTTTTCTGTTTATTTATTTAAGAAACATCCGTATATCAAAGCCAATATCCCATTTGCAATCTGATCTAAATTTACATGATGATCTTTCGATCCCAGTGCCAGATGGGGCACAATGGATATCTTGTTTTTTATTTTGGTCCTTTTTAAATGTCAACTTGTTTTCAATTTAAACCCGTTATTAAATACTTGTCACATATGTACTTTTCATCTTTACTATTTGCTTAGTCAATTCTCATGATTCGTATCACGCAAAACATCTACTGAGAATTCTTGTTTTTGTAATGATTCGTTCTATCGTGCATTAAAGAGAACATTGTTCTTAAACACTATTGAGAATTTTTGTTTTTGTTGTGATTAGTTCTACTGTGTTTCACAAAGAACAGTGTTATTTTCTTAAGACTATTTGTTCAAATGAAATACCCATATAAGCCACTTCAAGTTGGTGACACTTGTCATTTAAGCTTACTTAATACAGTATCACTCGACCGCAGTTTAACCCCTATTTTATTTATTAGTTTTATTATTGAGATACTAGTATTCCATAATATAATATAAATGTTGTATCTAATAGATAATTCTGTGTCAACATATGATTTTTCTTCTTTTACCTGAATAATTAATACTTCTAAATTACATGCTTGATTTATTTTTACAATTTTAGTCAAATCCCTTTGAGTTTTATTTAGTTATAGGGAGTTACACAGGAGTCCTTTTATGATCATAACTCCAAACAAAAATCAAATTTATAAATTCACTTACAAAGTAACTACACACATTACGACTGGGAAAAGATCATACTGTCATTTATTGATTTATCTTGGCTATAATCAGGTCAATCAATTTAGTACAAACATGAAAGTTATTGAGGGTGTAAACAAGGGTTTATTTTAATTTATTATTATATAATTATGGTGATTTTTTACATAAGGAATCATTTACTTCAGAGACTAATATGATTTATAATCCCATTGAATGAAGTTCAGTTGGATAAAGGGAACGCATCCTCTGTCCATCTGTCCGATGGGCAATAGCTCAAATACTGTTGGCCCAATTTTGTTCATATTTTGCTCATTTAAAAATGACGACCATTTTAGTGCAGATTTTACAATAATTTAGGTGCAATATGTAAAACTGAAATAGCAATATGTTTTAAATGTAAAAAAATATTTAGGACATTAAGAAAGCTATAATGTAGATATCGAAGAAGCACATGGCAGCCATCTTGAAAAATGCAGCCTTTACACATTATTCTACGTTTTTTCTGTAACTTGAAAAGTAGTGGAGTGATTTTGTTCATATTTGGTGTGAATACTATACTTCCTTTAGTAAACCTGGAAACAGGTCAATGGTAGCTCCTGTGTTGTCTGGAAACTTTGGAAGAAAATTGAAAAAATAGAAAGTGTGAAATATCAGAATTTCCTGGAGTTCCCATTGAACTCTTACCAGATATTCTAAAAACTACCTTAATTTTTAATTTTTTCAAAATCCATATAATTTTAGTGCCGAATATCTGAAGACTTTGGGAGGATGTGCCACACAATAAACCTCCTTGCAGTAATTGTGTTCCCAGCTACTGTAGTGCTCATTGTTCACCCCATTCCTTGTAAGTATGTGTTACAACATCATTTTCCTTAATTATGGACAAAATTCCTCAAATCACTAACCTTATTATGTCACCACCAAAAAGTGGCAACATATTGTTATGGTCACTGTTTTTTATGATGGCAGTTGGAGATCGGCAGTTGGCGATTGGCTGTTGGCATCTGTAGCAAATGGTGGTGACATTTTGCATGGTATCATGGGTTGGGATAGAAAGATTAGGTCAGTTTGTTGGAGCATGCTATTTTTCATAAAAGACCAAGGAAACATCACAAATTATTTTTTAACTCATATGTTTCATTATACCAAAGAAAATTACTTACTCCATGCAATGGGCATATCATTTGTGGATAACCTTCACTTCTGTTTGAACTCAAATAACGCTAGGAGTAAAGCTATTGAAAATGGCACCAAAGTATCATACTCTAAAATGTACCACTTCTTTTTTAATGGCACAATATAGTGACCTCATTATATTTACATGTTTTCAGTATAATTCTGAAAGTGTTAATAAGATCTCGATGTATTGGGTCTTTTTAATTTTATGAAAATTTATATTTCAATTTTTTGTCCAGTGTGGTGGAGCAGTTTCAAATGTGAAATACATTAAGATTCGTAATATATCTTTTACAACTTCACTTGAGAGGAGAGAATGTGTCAATTTGGGAAAGTGGTGTTGGCATTTTCTAGTTTGGCCTCTCATTATAGTCTGGACTCTGGACTGACACCATTGTAAAAAAATTAAAATAAAACTTTATTTTATCCATTTTTAGTTTTTTCATCTGCTGCACTGGGAATCTATGCTATCACATTCCTGAAGCTAGTCTCGTATATAGCCACCAATCAATGGTGCCGAGCCAACATTGCTGCATCCAGACGCCAGAGGGTACGCTCTATGTCTCTATATCCCAGTAAGTATCATTTAAAATTTATTATGTGCATCAAAATGTACCTATGATTACAGTAAACAGTCCAAAATAAGATCACTTCTTGTCCTGTGACCCATGCACCTGGTTAATTGAATCTCTATATAATAAGGGAAAGCCTATAAGTAAAGATTATTGAAGAACCAAGGTCCAAGGATGTTCCATTTTTATTATAGGTTTTATTGGGTTAACCAAGGGAAAAATCAATACCCGGTGATTTCAGCGGGAAGTGGCGTTTCGTTCAGTGGATGACTGTAGGCTATTAAGCACAGTGACCTGTAGAGCACTGCACGAACCGATAATTCCCGGGTATTGTTACACCCTTGGGTTAACGACACTTTATCTCCTTATCTAGATTTGAGGGTAGCCTGTTCGAAAAAAACTGTACCAAGTGCCTATAATGTGGTATTTAGTTTCTTAAAAGTTTCTAATAATTCCCAAAATACATGTGGTTCATCTTTTATAATAGCATGAATAATAATGTATGCATTTTTGTAGAAGATGGTGCCAATGGTGTTGTATCATCCAGCATTGTGCTTACACAATACCCAGATAACTTGACTTTATCAGGTGAGATAGTATATAAATTACATGTATGAGTCAGTACTGTTAAAAAATTCCATGTGCAACATATCTCATATTAACAATGATACCATTTTTGCAAAATTAATATTTTCAAAAATGTGTAAAATCACAAAAAACTTCTAGTTTTACAATTTATACATAACTTAGCTTTTGGAGTTGAGAATTGGAAATAAACTTATATTCCCCATCCCTGATCTTTATCATCCTATTATTATCTTCTAAAAGTATACCAAGTATGGGATTGGGACAATATATTCTCCATTTATTGTAGATTTGTATTACTTCATGCTGGCTCCTACCTTATGTTATGAGTTGAACTTCCCACGCTCAGCCAGGATAAGAAAGCGGTTTCTCTTGAAAAGAATTGCAGAAATGGTACGTCTTAATCTTACATTTGAATTGAGCAGTTATAGTTTTAGAAACCATATCTACAGCACTTGTATAAAAGGGAGAATGGCTAAAAAAATAGAGGGTTGATCTGGGGGGTTTCTATTTCCATTTTTCAGTGAATAGACAGAGGTCAATAATTTTTTTGAACTATACTGAAATAGAATTTAATGATTTAAAAAATACAAAAACACAATTCTTTTGAAATTCTAACTTGGTCAATATTGAGTACATGTATCTAATTTAGAACTCAGTTTTATCTGTCATCTAAAGAGTAAGTGAAATCATGGGAGTTGTTCTAGGATTTGTAGTTGTAGTTGTATCATCAATATCATACTGTTAATTCTTTTTTCCAGATTTTCCTGTTCCAGCTAATTATAGGACTCTGTCAACAGGTAAACAGCTACAGATATATTCAATTGTGGGGTCCATCAGATATTGTCAGGCCCGTAGACAGGATTTGCCAAGAGGGTTCACTTTTTGAAAAATTCCAGGGGGTTCACTTTTGAAAAATTTGGCTCAAAAATGGCCAAAATCACATGAGAAGTGCTCAGATCAAACTGCATGATTTTGAAAGCATTTTTGGCCAGAGGTGGTTCGCTTGATCCTCCTGAACTATGGGCCTGATCATTGTGGAGTTCTATTTCTCTGGCTTTAGTGGACCCCAGGGGGCCATTAGCAGAATTAGTTTCACATAATTAAAAATGTCTAGGTCAGTTGTACGTGACCAAGGATATAATGACATCATAGCTAAGGAACAATAGAATTAAGGTATTCATTACTTCCTATTCCATAAGTTACTGTTAATGGCTTTCTGATTTACATATTTTTTGATAAATCTGACTTTTGGAAGAGAATTTATGAATGAAATGAAAAAACATGAAAATACATTATTTTATGTCAACTAATAAGTTGTTAAAGTTGAAGCTGTAATTGAATTACACAATTAATGGTTTTTGATTAGTATTTAAAATTGTCCCTCCACAAAGTCTTACATATACAAGTACATTGTTTTGTATAGGCCTATGCATTTATTGATTCATAAAGTATGTTTTATAAAATTAAGATACATTCACTGAGCTGCTAGTTACTAACGCAACACACATGCTTTAAGGCCCCCTCACATATGAACAAATCTACCAAACGCAGTCTTGCGAAGTCAATTCTGGCGATTGGGAACGTAAACATGCGAACTGAAGCACATCTTTACGCAAGCTTCCAAAGCTTTCCGAAGCAGTACTTACATATATGAACACCCCAACGATGTACAACAAACACGTACTAATGTGAACAAATTTTACTCAATTCCTATTCGCAAGAATGCGCTTAGAGGATTCGTTCATATGTGAGGGGGCCTTTACCTGTCAATGATGACATATATAAGTTGTATATGTCAGCTGTCACTTTCAGTTTTTATAAATAATTAACTTGTTAATGTGTTTTAAGTGGATGATACCAACTGTGAACAATTCCATGAAGCCATTTCAAGATATGGAACTACAGGTTATTGTAGCCAGGGCTCTTAAACTAGCTGTGAGTATACAACTCATTTCTAACATGTTGGATTATTTAGAACATACATGTATTTCTAAGACAGTCAAAGATATTATTGCTCTTAAAACTGCTCTTTGGAAGATAGATAGCTTACTCATTCCTTATGTCACAAGAACACTGAAAGATATAGTGGCCTGGTAAAACATTGAAACCTAGAGAAAAACTTCATTTTTAGTAAATAATATTTAGAAAATGGTTGCTTTTATTGAACAGATGCTGTTTGAAAACTCTCTGATGAAAAAAATTGATGAAGAATTTTATTTTGGACAAAATTGAAATAGAAAGGATAAGTTCAATGAAGTATGTATGATCTGATACGTCTGCTAAACAAATGCATTATGGGATGGAATATTGCACAATGGAATTTTTCCTGCTGTTGTAGGTGCCAAACCACCTGATCTGGTTGATGTTCTTCTATTGGTTCTTTCACTCGTGCCTTAATGTGATTGCCGAGTTACTGAGGTTTGGAGACCGAGAGTTCTACAGAGATTGGTGGTGAGTTAGTCTTCACTTTATCATAGGGGTTACACATCTATTATACATTTATGATCTGATACGTCTGCTAAACTAATGCATTATGGGATTGAATATTGCATGATGGAATTTGAGGTTTGGAGAAGGAGGGTTCTAGAGGGATTGGTGGTGAGTTGATCTACACTATATCATAGGGGATCTATATATAGGGGTGACAGATCTCAAATATTTTAAAATACATATAATGTTTTGGAGGAGGTCTCTTTATACACTATTTTCACGCCTGGTTATTGGAAAAATGAATGGAGGGGGAGCAGCCGATTTCTGCAAGAAAATTCCCCGCTTCGTTCACTTGCAAGTTTTGATGACAATATGATACATAGAAAAATTGGTATGGTGTGTATTTAATTAGCTTCTTGAGACTACTGGGATTATAAAATTCAGAATACCAAATGGGAAGATCCCCATGTTATTTCTTAATTTTTTTAACAGCAAATATTCAATGTGTTCCCAGAAAGAGCTCATATCAATCATAAAACTGATAGGAATGGGCATCCAAACTATTTTTTTTATTTAACTATGAAATATTGATTAGAAGAATGTAAGTGTTACACGACCTGTTGCTGTTGCTAGTATTGTATTTTGTTAATTGTATATTTGTATATATCTTTCATTTTGGAAATAAAGAAAACAAAAACAATGGGTATCTCTTATTTCTTCTATACAGGAATGCTGAATCAGTGACAGAATTCTGGTCCAACTGGAATGTTCCGGTTCACAAGTGGGCATCACGCCACCTATACAAACCCATGTTAACTAGAGGATACACCAAGATGCAGGCATCCATTGTGGTTTTCTTTGCTTCCGCCTTTTTTCATGAGGTATGGGGGTTATTTTGCTTTAGGGGTGATATTAACTGATGATTGACAGTTGTGGAGAAAGAAAACTTCTTTGAAACCTTGATTTCATGTGCTTGATTCTCTCAAGAGATACTTCAGATATGAAAACATGTTTAATGTTTTGAGTCATAGTGCAAATGAATTTTTATGTCACCACCAGAAGTGATGACATATTATTAAAGTCTCCAACATTTTTTGTGGACAGTGTTGGTCAGCCTTTGGCATCTGTAATAAATGTAACAAATGGCAGGTGATGACATTTTGCATTGTCAATTCCTTGTTTCATTCAGTCAACCTCACTTTATCACTTTTGTTATTATGTCACCACCAAAAATTGGTGACATATTGTTAAATGTTGTGAAACACTTAGACTGCATGTTAATTTTGATCGTCACTTGGACTATGTCAAATATGTATTAAAATGAATAATTAAGATATTCAACTCAGTTTTTTTTAAACCCGGAGTTACATATGTCAAATTTAAATAAATATATCACCACCAGAAGTAAAAGACATATAGTCTCCAACTTTTTTGTGAATGGTGGTCGGCAGTTACTGTTCGGGGTTAGGTGTCTGTAACGAATGGAAGGTGGTGACATTTTGCATGTTAATGCCTTGCTTTTACTGTTTTACTATTATATTACTGTCATCTGCTGATATAAGAATGCATTCTGCCATATTCCAGTACCTTGTGAGTGTGCCATTGAGGATGTTCAGGCTGTGGGCCTTCTCTGGCATGTTGGCGCAGGTATGTAACATTTTATTGTATAAATAATATTTTTATGAGACCTTTAAGATGTGTTGGCATATTGTTGTTACATCCACCAATTTTTGTGTGATTGGCGTTCAGTACTGACTTGATATTGGGGTCTGTAAAGTCATGTTAATCTCTTGTTAAAACATTGATACATGTAGTTTGTTCACTGTTTTTAGTAGGACTAAAATTTGGTGGTAGAATAAATTACATTATTACATCACTATCTAGCTAGTGACAGTATGATTGGTCAAAACCGGGTCACATGTCGTGGGATATCTGGCGATATTCAATGGCAATGCTAATCAGATAAGACAACCGTGAGATATCTAGCGATATCCCACGCTCCCGGGAATTTTCAAAGAATTTGTTTTCGTTCAGTGTAAATAATTTAGTTCAGTGTAAGTCAAAATGACAGACGAACCGAGTGGATTCAATGTATTTCAATGTTAACCTATGACTTAATAATATTAGGGATGTTTAGCTAGACAGTGATATAATAAAACAAATATTTCACTCTATTTTCGGTGAATACCTGTAGCACTTTCATAAGGTGATATTCCACTTGCCCTTCGGGCTTCGTGGAATATCACCTGTGAAAGATGTACAGGTATTCACCTCAATAGAGTGAAATATTTGTTCAGTGTTGCACTTTACAATATCATGGATATAGAAGAATAGTAATTATAAAATATTTATTTCACAACTTGAAAAATATATCCATTCCTACATGGATTTTTCTTGTCATTTCAAAATCGTTCTTTTTTCCTCAAATGCAGACAAAAATATCCTGAACTTCTACTTAATTTGGTGCGGATTTGCTATTTTGAACATTTGGCAGATTTGCAATATTGAAATGTATATTCCATACTTTAGGACTAAAATATGAAATATTGAATTTGGCGGCTACTTAATTTGGTGGACTTGAACAATTTTGCAGATCTGCCAAATTTAAACAGCCACCAAATTAGTAGAAGCACGGTACATATTTGCATTGCCCCTGATAGTACATGTACTTATCTTTGTCATTCCAGATTCCATATGCGATATTTGTAGCAAAATATCTCCATGGCAAGTACGGCAATATGGCAGTTTGGATCTCATTGATAATTGGCCAGCCCACGGCAATATTAATGTACGTCCATGACTACTACATCCTACACTACGGATCTGTATCATAGACATCACACCACAGGCCTGTAGCCAGGGGGGTTCGGAGGTTCGAGCATACCCCCACTAGCCAAAATTTCTATCAAAAATTCTTGGCAAAATCTGGCTAAGGGCCTGCACCAGTGCAATAAATCGGACCGGTGTTGAATTGTTAAAACAGTAAAGAGTCCTCACTATGGAGTATAATACTATCCTCTTAAATTGATAATAGATCCTTATATTATAGGCTACATAGTTACAGTAAAACCTGTGGAATACATCTATAAGTAGAACAACTCAAGAACACATTTATGTCTTATTACCCCTTTAACTGAATGTACATTAACCTGTGTTGATGGTACACATCCCAATGAACCAGATGCGAGTAGGTAGTTACCAGTTTTACCACCAGGTGGCTAATTTGGGTCGGATAGCATGGCTGATGTGGTAGAATGTTCCATTAAACTTGAATATTCATCAGTTTCAAGTGTATCAATTTTTACATGTAGATTTCAAATATGATATCACTTTGACTGAATTTTGAATATTTAATGATGTAAATCAGGGTTATTTCTACTTGCATCTAGTCTATTGGAACACTATTTTGGGGTAATTAAGGTGTTCCAAGTACACAGGTTTTACTGTATTATAACAAGGTAATCAGAGGGTAATAAGCACAATTGGTGTGAATCAAGGTTGTAGACACCGATACACTGCCAATTCTAAATAGCATTGTACAGCACTGGTTAGAGTGTTTTAAAATCAGTATTATTAAGAACACTATTTAAAACAATGCTGTACAGTGATGTGAAAGCCATACAGCACTAAAGATGAAGAGTATTAAGGATGCAGGTCTTTTTGTGAAAGTATTTCAGGAGACGAGGTAATACTCATCTCAGTAAAGTCAATGAGGTGTGACTGATCTTGACTGTTATATATGGCATGTCATAACTGGGATGTTTGGGACTTCAGGTGTATTGGGTAGACCTGTTTAACATTATATATAAATATCAATAACCAATACAACACATTATTATTGTGAATCATGATAATCAAATTCGAAATAATTTTTCATGTGTGAAGCAAGGTTGAATACTGCATAGCCTCATTAGGAAAGTTGAATTTTCCTTGAGGAAAGATTGGTCTTTGTGTGAATCATTTCCCTAAATTAGTGAAAACAGAAATTCAGAATCAAGCAATTAATCATGAATTATTTCATTCCCAGCAAACAATTTGATTGACACTTTTCCCTTGAAAATATTAAAAAGAGGATCTCGCACAAATCATGCAAAGGGAGGATACACTGAATACATATTTTTCAATATACAGCACTAGAGCTTTGAACTGTAACAATGCAAATTTGTGCAGAGAAGGGAGTCTTCTCCAGATTATGAATGTAATACAAAATATTTAATTCTATTGAGGTGAATACCTGTGCATCTTTCATTAGTGAAGGGCTAGTGGAATATCACCTTGTGAAAGTGCCACAGGTATTCACTGAATATAGAATTAAATATTTGTTTTATTTTATTAATCACTGTGATATTCCTCACTCACATAATGGAATTACAAACTATTGGTGTCATAACAATGTATTCCATGAGATATATAAAATCAAAAACACTGGACTAAGCCGTGACTGATGAATATCATTTGATATTCAACGGATCAGATGAAGAGTATTCAAGTCAAGTCAGATGGAAGTCAAGTGACTTCAATTGAATATTGAATATCGCTTGTTATTTTTAGTCATGTGTAGGACATAGATCAATCAGAGAGTGAGGAATATGACAGTGATACAAGAAATAATATGTGCATGTTATGTGTGCCATCAAAAATGTTTATGTATTTTTATAAAGGTATGTACAGTTATATATTATGTTTGTATAATACTTCATGTACTATAGGCTAGATTGAACTTATATAATGGTATACAGTAGAACTAGGTTTAATTTATAGAGATAAATATGTTAATGGGTAAATGATGTATCTTTTATACATAATGCCATGAGCTGTCATTAGACTAACACCATTTACAGAATGAGCCAAAAAATCTCCATATTTTTATTTTATTGGGTGACATTATTTTTGATAGGGCATATATATCAAACATGTTTTAGCTGAAGATGCAGGAATCAATTGATTGTTCAGATGTTCTCAAAACATGAAAATGGCATTATTATATCTTAGGGGTGTTAAGATGAAAGAAGTAAGCTTGGAGATTCATAGTATTTGATGGAATAATTTTACATAATAATATGGAGATTTTTTGGCCCACCTTGTAGTATTATACATGTAGATAAAAATACGAAGGAATTTGATCTTGGAATAAGTAATCTTGGTTTGTAACAGAAACCTAAAATGGAAGGATCGGCTTTATCAAACATGTCTGAAAAATATTAAAACGTCCTTACATTTAAGGGGAAAATCAGAGAAATGCATTTTTCCTGTTGAAAGAAATCTCAGGTATTTCTTACTTACGTATTTTAATTTTCAGGGAATTTTTTCATAAAACTTTTGGCAGCTCTTAGTAAAATGTTTACATGGCCTATTTGCGATAACTTACATTTACCTCAAATCGGACCATTGAAGGAAAAGTTTAGCAAATCTATCAAAGTTATTGGCTTGCAATATTGAGGTTTTAGGGCAACTGAATAGTGCAATGTCAAAGGACATGTTATACTAAAATCTGAAAATATTTTTCTGAAATGTGTTGAACAATTTTATTATAGCAAATGTTGTACAGTACATTTTATATACATTTGTGTTCAAAAATGCATGTATTTATAATATCTAATTCTTCATATAAACACACACATGTAGATTCTTAAACCCTTTATGTTTTAACTATTTTCAGACATCGAAGTTACAAATGACAAATACTTGTCTATTAAGGTTCATTCCAAGATCACATCCCTTTTAAGATGGAAGAAAATATGGAACAGTTATAAATAATTCAAAGATTATTTTTTCAGCTTAATTTGATTTGTTCCAGCATTATGTGGATTTTTTTATTTTTGTATATTGTTACATTTGAATTTGGATTATGCAATATTATAAATTGTGACCAATCAACATTTTACAATGTTGACTATTTGTAGCAAAATAAGCTGCATGTATGTTTGTATAGGTATTTGCTAATGTATACATGTACACTCCCCTCAAAGGTTTGCAATCTATGATCACTTTTTGGGATTTAAACCTGTAAGTGTTTGTTGATTTCAACAAATTCACGTAATGATAGTCATAAATTTACAACCTTTTGTAATAAGGAACAAATCCCCTCATTAATGTTTACTCATTTTGATGTCATCTTTGGCTGTGTGATTGTTAGTATACACACTAAGATTATACCATGAGTATGACAAGGTGAAAATATTAGTCAATAGACTGTGTACTCAAAAGCATTGAAATGTTTGGTGCACATAAACAGAACCCCTCGGCAATGTTTACTCATTTTGATGTCATCTTTGGCTACATGTATGTGATTGTTAATATACACATTAAGATTATACCATGAGTATGACATAAGGTGAAATTATTAGTCAATAGACTGTGTACTCTAAAGCATACATTGAAATGTTTGGTGCATATAAACAAAACCCCTCGCTAATGTTTACTCAATTTGATGTCATCTTTGGCTACATGTATGTGATTGTTAATATACACATTAAGATTATACCATGAGTATGACATAAGGTGAAATTATTAGTCAATAGACTGTGTACTCTAAAGCATACATTGAAATGTTTGGTGCATATAAACAAAACCCCTCGCTAATGTTTACTCATTTTGATGTCATCTTTGGCTACATGTATGTGATTGTTAATATACACATTAAGATTATACCATGAGTATGACATAAGGTGAAATTATTAGTCAATAGACTGTGTACTCTAAAGCATACATTGAAATGTTTGGTGCATATAAACAAAACCCCTCGCTAATGTTTACTCAATTTGATGTCATCTTTGGCTACATGTATGTGATTGTTAATATACACATTAAGATTATACCATGAGTATGACATAAGGTGAAATTATAAGGCAATAGACTGTTTACTCTATAGCATACATTGAAATGTTTGGTGCATATAAACAAAACCCCTCTCTAATGTTTACACATTTTGATGTCATCTTTGGCTGAGTGATTGTTAGTATACACACTGGGATAATATCTTGAGTATGACATTAGCTGAAATTATTAGTCAATAGACTGTGTACTCTACAGCATACATTGAAATGTATGGTGCATATAAACAAAACCCCTCGCTAATGTTTACTCATTTTGATGTCATCTTTGGCTGTGTGATTGTTAGTATACACACTATATTATACCATGAGTATGACATTAGCTTAAATTGTTAGTCAATAGTCTATGCATTCTATAGCATGCATGGAAATGTTTGGTGCATATAATCAAAACCCCTCACTAATGTTTACAAAATTTGATGTCATCTTTCGCTATGTGATTGTTAGTATACACACTTGGATTATACCATGAGTATGACATTAGTTGAAATTATTTACTCTATAGCAGCATAAAAATGTTTGGTGTATATAAAGTTTTCAACTAAGGGTAACTAAATTGCCTGGTAAATTGATGTGTATTTATTAAAGAAATATACATATATTTATCAATATTTTCTTATCTTATGCCTAGCTCATGTAAGCTCCGATTCATCAGCCAATGAATCGGAGCTAATGAGATCGGGGCATTAATTAGTAAGTCAGATGTCATTGGTGTGGTTCCTATTTTGGATCCAGGCTCTGCCTGACTCTAAAAACACATTCTGTTTGATATTGTTTTGTTCTAAAATCTGCTTCATAGTTACAATGAATTTTGCACAATATTGTAATTTTGCTTATGGAGTGTTTTTGTAAACCTACATATGGTGTATAAACTTGCAGTATATGATCACTGGTTAAAAAATAAAAACTTCAAACATAATATATATGGTATGATTTCTGTGTCTATTGATTTGAAATCACTTTGTTTGACAATGAAATAGAAGTTTGCTTCCATGAAGATGTATGATATTATAGTATCCCCAAGGTGAATAGGCCTAGTTGTTCAAATCATGGGCTTTCAATCAGTACAGACTATGTTCAAATATAAAGACTGACGTTTCAGACATATTATGCCTTTTCAGAAAAATATTTTGGTTTGGCTTGAATTCTCAAATTTTTAAATATTTTTTTCTGTTATGAACAAGACAAATAATACATTATCACCCAAATATGGAATTTATTCCTTTTGGTTTTTAAAGACCCCTTGTAAAATTTTAACCACAATGTTATCAGAATGTGATACAAGAAACTTCTCTTTAAATTTTAAAAAGGTGTTTTTGAAGGACTTTTGTTGTGTGAAGGTTGGTTGAAAAATAATAGTGTACTCACAAGTGCTGAAGAATATTCAACAGGAAAATATATTTCAAAAT